ACAAGACTGTCACACAAGAGTGTCCCACAAGAGTGTCCTACAAGAGTATCCCACAAGAGTGTCCCACAAGAGTGTCCTACAAGAGTGTCCCACAAGAGTTTCCTACAAGAGTGTCGCACAAGAGTGTCCCACAAGAGTGTCCCACAAGAGTATCCCACAAGAGTGTCCCACAAGAGTGTCCTACAAGAGTGTCCCACAAGAGTGTCCCACAAGAGTAGCCCACAAGAGTTTCCTACAAGAGTGTCCCACAAGGAGAGTCCTACAAGAGTGTCGTGTAAGAGTGACCCACAAGAGTGTCCTACAAGAGTGTCTCACAAGAGAGTGTCCCATAAGAGTGCCCGACAAGAGTGTCCCACAAGAGTAACCCACAAGAGTTTCCTACAAGAGTGTCCCACAAGGAGTGTCCTACAAGAGTGTCTTGTAAGAGTGACCCACAAGAGTGTCCTACAAGGGTGTCTCACAAGAGAGTGTCCCATAAGAGTGCCCGACAAGAGTGTCCTACAAGAGTGTCCTACAAGAGTGTCGTGTAAGAGTGTCCCATAAGAGTGCCCGACAAGGGTGTCCTACAAGAGTGTCCCACGAGAGTGTCCTACAAGAGTGTCCCACAAGAGTGTCCTACAAGAGTGCCTTTCAGGAGTGTCCCACAAGAGTGTCCTGTAAGAGTGTTCCACAAGAGTGTCCTACAAGAGTGACCCACAAGAGTATCCTACAAGAGTGTCCCACAAGAGTGTCCTACAAGAGTGTCATTTGGACATATGTAGCTTTTCGAACGTGTTTGCATTCGGGTTCGTGGGCTCCATCTTGTTTTCTGACTTGGTCGCCTACTAAAAGCTGATAAACGGTCAGCCACTGTCCATCTCACATACACAAAACAGAAACATAAGCCGTCGTGGGCTTTGTTCTTGACTTTGGAAGACATCTCAAAAATTGGTCAGTCGAGTCGAACCTCCAGCTTTGTCAATAGATCTGAATCCCAATATTAATAGATGCCTTTGCAGCCGCAGATGACAAAGGCTCCAGCCGCAGAACCCGGGTTCTGAATGCCTTTTCACGCGAATCCACCCAACGTCCAGCAAATACGCATCCAACTCATATCCCAGCTAAATCTACCCTACTAACTACTAAGCAGATTTATTCAGCACCCTGCACCAAACCATCATTCTGTATCCTCTCTCGACCCAAACACACGTAGCTGTTGAAGGAATCCTGCACATCCTACATCTCCGACATCTCCGACAATTCTTTCGTTGTGCTTTTCCAGGCCGGTGGCTTTCACGCCTTTTGGCATGCGCTGAAGGGTGTAGATCTCATGAAGCTCAAAGGCGACCTCCATTGTCGGGTCCGCCAAGGCGACGCACCGATGAGTCCAACGGAGCCAACACGGAGTGACCGTCTCCACAACAACAAGTCCTGTGTTACACAGCTTCCACAAGGCCGGGTTCCTCTACCAAGAGTCTTCCACATAAACTTTGTTTATAAAAACAATAAATATAAGTTATATGTTCAGAATTTTCAGAGTTCATGAACTCTGGGGCCGGAAAATATCACTTAACATCACCACTTTGGACTGCAGAACCTCCGCTTCCGCCGAAGCGGCCGCCGAAGCGGCCACCAGCCGTTGCTGTCCGGCTATCCAAAGTTTTTCGCCTGGAGGTCCGGCAGTTGCTGTCCGGAACTTCTCCCCTCATTAGCATATTCATATATAGATTCTGATGTGATAAATGTGGTTATTCCATGTTATTCCCTAGGGCTCCAACCATATCCTCATTAGACCTAACCCACCCTAACCACCTTCTCAGGAGCTAGTTGGAGCCCTAGGGATTTAGATACAGATATCAAATCTCCGATTCTCACCCGAGGCCTAGCAGTGATCCGCCGGAAGTTGCAGGAATTGATCGCCGAGGCGGAAAGAGCTCACGGTGTACCGATCCGCGCCGTTCCAAAGTCTCTTCGTATGGGGGTTAATCAAGAGTCTACATTCAGCTACAGCTATCTGAAAAACAAAACATCTGAGAGCAGACAGACCCGCAGAGCGTTTGGAGCTCGCCATGCAAGGACTGGTGGCTGGCGGTGCACGATGCCGAAGGTTTGGAGGACGACGCCCTGGAAGAGTGGTCGGATGGCTATGGAGAGCTGAGGAGGTTTTTTGGTCGGATGCAACATGCACAAGCACATACATGCGCCATCCCATCCAATCATACAAATGTATACAAATGTTTATTCATAATCCAATCATCTTCGCCGCACTTGGCTGCAGGAGCTGCTCCATTCGGCGCTGGCCGAGAGGTGGGAGACCCTCTCGCAGAGTTTGGGGAACAGTGGTGGTGGCCAGAGCCAATGGGCTTCATTTACCATCATTTGCCTGATTTTGCCTAGGGTGATCGCCATTTGACTTATTGGATATTCTTCTGGGGATGATTTATGTGTTTTCAGTGTGTGTGTGTGTTTCCTCAAGCAAATCCAAGTTTGGAAGATTTCTCAGATTGTTGGTCGCGACCCGTGCGAACATCGAGTTCGAACTTGAATTCTGCACTTTTACGGATGCCACGATATAGATACGCCATGATGGGTCCGCCGTCTTCTTGAAAGCAACATGATACATTGATCGAGTGTGAAGAAGAAGGTTGTAATTCACCTGCCTCTTTAAAGACAATTTGTGACTGTTTTGATAGGAAACAACCATGATTTATGTTATAAGTTGCTTGGTGATCGAAGGTTTACGTTTTCGTACGTCACCATACGTCCCATTCGGGTGGGACGTCAGGACCCTGGTGCGGGATTGGACCCATTGGTGGAGTCCAACAAGCAGGGGAGCACGTGCGTGTGTATGATGCAGGATAGCACGTCTTCCGGAGCAGTGAAGGTCCAAGGAGCCAAGTCTTGGCACGTTGTCACGACGACCCGGTGTGCAGGAAGCGCCGGGCTGACGACCTGACGTTGAAGCAGCGGCAACAACTGGTCAAGCGCTTTCGTGAGGCAATCAGTGTTTTCGGGGATTTGGGTGCAGGTTTGAGAAGATTTGTTGGGACATAACATGACTGAACCGAGAAAACATCCGTGCACGCCTGTGTATCTTTGGGGTCCTGGGGTCTCATTTCCCACGAACAATCGGTCGTTTGCGGATCTTGTACGCCTCGATTTAGAACGAGATGATTCGGAACACTCCGACTGCAGTGGGACTGCCTACCTCAGTAGGTGGTTGACATAAAGCTGTTCTTTATAGGGTCAATTCAGTCAAGCTTCCAGTCCGTGATGGTGGAAACACCGCCGGAAGAACATCACCGGGCTTGGGGAAACGAACAAAACAACCAAAAACACAATCCCGAATGTGGAGAAAGAGAACTCGATGAACCAACAGCCTGTGGGCTGTGGGCTGTGGAGCGCACTTGACTTGTGATGAAGTCGAGTCTACAGGTCCGTTGGGTCGAGTCTACGGGTCCGTTGGGTCGAGGTGGGTGGCGTGGAAGCCTTCCTGGATGGCTTTGCGAACATCAACCTCTCGCAGATGCTCCAACAACACAAGGCACTGAGGGACCAGGGATTGTAGATGATTTGAGCTAGGAATTGATGGGTGCTTTCTCTCTTTGGGTTCAACCAGAGGGTTTCTACAAGCTTTGAGAGACATAAACATATTCACATCGTCACAATCACCTTGTACAGCTATGTGGCCACAAGATGGACCGAATCGCAGGTCTCCACCCCGAGGTCCTTGACATATATTCCTGCATGTATGTGCTTGTTTGGTGGTTCCGGACCCAATACAAACCAAGTGCCTGAACATATGTTTCTGCGCAGACATTCAAGTTTTCAGGACGCCAGCGTGAACAACTGGTGATTGGCCGTCCACTTCTCCGTACCAAAACAACGAGATCTGCCATTATTTGCCGTGTACCGTTTCGTCCGCTTCGTTCTCTATCGGTAGGGGTCCGCACCGAGAAACCAGCGCTGTATACTACGCGCGCCTGGACCGGACGCTCGTTCAGGCGCTTCACAAGGCTCGCATCCGGGACGTCGGGGTGATCGAAGCTCTGTCGAAGATCGGTGAGCTGGTGAAGAACAAGGCGCGGAGGCCGTGGCGCAGGTGGTGGGATGGGGGAGCTGGTGATAGACCTTTTACTTACTTGTCGCAAAAGCACCAGGCAAATCGGAAGATGTTTAGAGTTGATGTTCCAATGTTAGAGAACATCGAGGGGAGGAGCCATGAGCAGACATAAATAGGTCGATGTGGGGTGCGGCAATGGCAGCCATTGGTGCGCTTGTACACTCCCGGAACTAACATGGAAGTAGACAATGGCCTCTTGGAAGACAATTTTCTCTATACAAACAGGGTGTTTTCCACTTCCATGTTAGTTTTCGGGAGTGTAATATGTGATAGACAAAAAGGACAATGGGAAGGTTGGCGGTGCTATGTGCCATCATGTGCCATGATCAGTTTATAGGTCAACGTTCAACACCGGTGCACAGCCCCTTTTGGAGGAGCGTCCATTTTTTTTACGTGGTCGAAGGTTGGAAGGCCCTGCAGATCCCTGCAGTTTTTGTTGACCTGCACACCTCCGCAGTGTAGGGATCACACACATGGAGTATGAATGAACATGTACCAGCTTCTTCAAAGTGACCTCTTTGGAGTGCCTAAGTGACCTTTTACAGGCCCGTTCGTGACCTCAAACTGGGATATCAAGTTCGGCCACTTTGAAGAACCAGGTAGGTACTTCTTCATGTTTCCAATCATGTATCATGTTGCAAAAGCCCCCCATATGGCTAGCCCAAACTTCCTCCAACTCCCACTGGTCTGGTCGAACGACTTCGCACCGAACGACGAGAGCACCGAAAGACGAGAGCACCGAAAGACGCGCTTTTTGATGGGTTTGGCAGGTGGAACATCTCCATGGACTTCAGGCAGTAGCTGCTACCTTGGTGTCTGGCCCCCGATCCACCCGGAGGATGGGGATCTTGGAGTAGCTCAGTCTTAGGGCGACCTCCCAGGCACCCAGAGAATAGACCAGTCAACCCAGCCAGGGGGGCCTCTCCCCTTTCGGGGGTCGACTCTCATTTTAAAATACACAAACCAATTCGGTAATTCGGTGGGTTTCTGTCATTAAAATACACCATCTTCCGAGGATGAGGATTGGACTGTTCTTCGATGTTTGGGGTCAGACGGTCAGACCCCCCTGGTTGGTTCGGAAAGAGGATGGGGGCCGACCCTGACCAGCCCCAAGAGGTTCCTCTAGCCAGAGAGTTTGTCCATCACTCTCACTTCTAAGGTTCAAGTAGAGAAAGCAACTAGGAACAAGAAACTGCTAGAAACAAGGGCATCGCTACTAGGAACAAGGGCATTATTACTATAGTAGCAAGGACGCTACTAGGAGCGCTCCTGGCCGTACTACTAGGAGGTAACTGACCGGTAACTGACCCCTGCACCATTTATTTGGCGCCTCGAAGTTTGGCCACGCATAACAAGAGTGTATAACTAGGGCGTTCTTTCCCCATGGCCATTATTCAAAGAAGGAGCCCTTTCACTCGGAGTTCCCCTAGCCCGACAGCGGTTGGAGAGGACAGTTCTGTGGGTGATACGTTCCATATTTTTTTCAAGATGGCATTGCGCGTCCGAGTTAAAACAGTTCCAAAGCGCGGTTTGTTTTCCGCGGTGTGTTTATTATGTTGTTTGTTTGTTTTTTTTCCTCTCCCACCCTTCGGACTTCAATTCGCAAAGGGTGGTTTGGATGTTCCACATGAATCCCCAAGGCTGTGACATTGTTTGATCATTTTTGCATTGTTTTTTGGCCAGGAACCTGGTTTTGCTTAGTAATCTTAGTAGTTGTTTCCATTTGATTCAATCCCCTTCATGGGGAATCGTGTTTCATCATTTTGTTTAGTTTCCTGGACAGCAACATCCAAGTCGACCGCTCGAGCTCACCGAGCGAGCTCGGCGTCGGTCGAACTCGACTGGGAGAATCGACCCCAGGCGCTGGGGAGATCGACATTATCGAGGAGAAGAGCCCGTGCGATTGTGGAAGGTCCGGCCAGCGGGGAGATGGATGGCACGAGGACGGACGGAGGACACGCTGGGTATTCACCGGCTGAGTTCCCGAAGTGAACCCAGGGGCACCACGGTTGGGGGAGGTCGGTCTCCCTAAGACTTTTCGCTATACACCCATGCGTTATCCAGTGACGCTCCCAGTGACGCTTGGAGATTCAATGGAGACTTCCCAGAGTGAGATCAGGTAGCTGAACCAAAAGTCACAACAGGGTGCTTTTTAGTCCCAAAGTGAGTGGATAATGGGCACCTCTATCCTCCAAGTTCGGCACCCCATTTGTGTCTCCTTGAGCCAGCTTCGTCGCTTCATGGAGCTCAGCTTGTCATGACTTGAGATCATATCGGACCGTGAGACAGGTCTAAGGAACGACAGGCACTTTGGGCACTTTTGGAAGTGGACAAGCTGATGGGATCGGAACTGATGATGCAGACGCAGCCTTGCTATAGTGCTTTCAAGGTGTTCATGTCACACACTCTTTAAGTTTGGGATGTTGCTTTCAAATACTTTGCCATCCAAAATAACTGCATCAAGTCTACCATCGCAGCTCTTGTTCCCTCCACCTCTTGCATCACTGTCCTTCAACTCGAAACGCCGTCAATTTGGCGGCCACGAGACACTTGCCACCACACTTCGCTCCCATCACCTTGCCGACCGGAGCCACGTGTAAGACAACCTGGCGCCCAGGCGATGCATCAGCAGGTCACCTGGCTCTTGATGGCCATCGAGGAGAATGGCGCGCTGTGGGAAGCACCCAGAGCAGCGGCGACCGTCGCCGGAGTCGAGGCGACCACGTGAGTCGTTTGCCACGGTCGGTGGGAAAGAAGATAGAGGCCCTGGCATCCCTCGCCGAACATCGCCGACCCGGAATCCTGTTTTATATTCTGAAGTGATTGAAGAGAAGCTAGAATCGACATGTTGCAAAGATTTGCAAAGACTTGTGTTTTTTTGTTTTCAAGGTGTGTTCTTGTTTGAACGAATATGCATTTGCATGTGTTTGAGACATGAGCATTGCGTGTAGTGTAGTGGTTCTCCAGTGAAGCGGCAAAGAACCAGCTGCAGCTAAGCATGCTTTAACAGCAAGCAGCAAGACCATTTTGTGTTTGGGTGCAATGTGGCAATGCCCTCAAAGTTTGCTGGGGGCCAAATTGATGGCAACTGCTGCCTACATTGTTTAGCTTCAATCATTGGCCTTGCAGACATCCTTGGTCATACGTCGGCAGTCATCTTGGCGACGGCAGTCAAGCTAGTGGAGGAGCCACGTACTGTTTGCAATTCGCTCAGGCAGACTATGAGGAAACAGAAGTTGTCACAACAGTTGTGTTCATGACCTAGAGGTTGAACAAGATTGGCCACATAGCCGCCACAAATTGTCACGAATTCCTCATTCTCAAAGTTTGTGGTATGATGTGGTATGGACTGTATGGCAGTTTTTGATGGGGTTAGTGTATATCAGCAGCCCATGACTTCCAATCAATATCAACATCTTTAGCTTCCGCTGGTTAGCTTACTCTGAGGTTGAAGGCGACTGTGAACCACGGAAACCATCCTGGGTCCTTGCCTCAGTTGGTGATTTCGCAGTGAAGCCCAGAAATCACAAAAGACATAATATAATAATATATGTATAGCTGACCAATATGCTGACCCTCTCAAGGGGTGGCAGGTGATGAAATGCCAATGTGCAAACACCAAACAGCTGCAGGGTGTCCGATCTGAGGAAGGAACCTGAACTGACCCCAGCACGGCTGGCACGGGCCTCAGAAGATCTCGGGTAAGTATTTGATGAGAGTATAGCGTATTTTTTTTCACCTAGTCCTTCCAACTTCTAATGGTTGTTCCATCTTCTTTGCTTCTACAATTTGCATGTCCTGAAATTTCACACTTGACCCCACAGAGACTGTGTTTTCTCCTCACCCGGTTTCTGCCATGGTCGATCCTTTCTTCGCTATGCTTCACTCGTTCGCCACGTTCAAGACGGGGCGTTCCCCATCTTGGCCAAATGGATGTGGGTGGCACCAGGAGACGTTGGCCTTTCCGGAAACGGAATAGAACAGACTCAACAGACTATACACATGCTTCACCTGGTCGGTGCCGGGACCCCCCCCAACTAGAACGGAGCGACCAGGCGGAGCGAGGCGGGTCATCACAGCCAGTTTCTCGCTCGTCACAAGGACGCTACGAACGGGGCGAAACTGGCCTTACGACGCTACGAACGGGGCAACCATTCATCGCGTCTCGAGTCGCATTCTGACCGATGCGAACTAGGCGCAGTTTCTCCAAGCTCTTCGACCCGTGGGTGGCGTTGGGCCTCAGAGAAGGGTCCGATGCCCGAGGCGGGTTGGTTCTGAGACCGACCCGTACCGAAAAGGTTCGGTATACGACTGGACCCGACGTTTTGGCACCTGCAAAAAACAGTGAGGTGGAAGAAGTCGTGTCTTCGGAGGAAGGCTTGAACAACTTAAAAGAACATTGAAAGAACGATGGATTGGGATGGAAGACATAACCCCTGAAATGATATCTCTTCAACACCTACATCAACGACGCCAAATAACGTGCTGTTTTAAGGATCTTTTTGAATCCTTTTGATACCGACTTAGTATGAGGCTATTAGCACGATCTCACCCTTGGTCAGACTTCTTTACTTCTTTACCTGCTGAGAGAAAACAACAAACAATAAAGCGGATCATGGACACAACAAGCGAAGATGGACGAGCCCTCAGCACGAGAAATAAGAGACGCATGAAGGAGAACCTGAGCCTTTTTGAGCAGCTAAGTATAGCCGATCCATGCCAACCCTTAAAGCAGGCGACGGCGACAACTGCCGAAGGACTTGCTCAATCAGGTGATTTCCTTTCGGTTTGATACCCCCTCTACTTGAAAAGATTTTTGGATTCGCTCAGATGATGTGGAGACCTGTGCAAAGCCATTGGGATGCACTGGATCGGGCCACCCTGTTCATGCAAGAGTTCTGGAACACAAAGAACTAGAACACGTTCTCGCTGATATTCTAGTGGAATTATGGCAAGTTTCCTGGTTTATCTTCCCAGATTCCCTCTTACCATCTCGTATACCAACTGGTGCAGATATGTGTTGCCTTTAGCCAAAAGTTGCCAAAAAACTATCTTATCAGAAACCTGACCATCTCTTTGCGCAAGCCCCCATCACTGGCCAAAGAGTCGTACAAATGCAACGTCATCAATTGTGCTTTTGTTCACTCGAAGTGATATCGGATTCCAATGAATTTCATGGCCTGCACCGGGGCAGGCCAACCTTAGGATCTGAAAAGGACACTCAAGGTCGAGGTGGCTTTTGCATAACAACTCCATGAACAACTGCGAATCAGGGCACTTGTTTTTTCAGAAATCAAGCAGACTTCACAGGTTGGCTCATCCAGAATCCCCTAAAAAACCTTGGCACCGGGAGGCCTTTGTTGAACCGAACCCCTGGTGCCGACGTCGGAGGTCCCAGGCTTCTTGGCCGCCTTCCGCGGCTTGGACTTCCCCATGGCTGCAGCACAGGCGCGGGAGAGCACCGGAGCGACGCAGGGTGGGCTTTTTGGTGAAGAGGAAGAGAGAACGCAGATGGTCAGACCAGGTATTTGTTTGGTTGGTTGGTCTGTGGTACATGTGGTATTCGAAAATACTGGATCCAGTAGGATAGTAGGACACTTTGACAGGGAGACTGGTGTTGATAGAAGGTTGTTTTGAGGATAGGAGAAGAAAGGAGAGACATTGCTAGGGTTTTGAAGTTTTTGTTGTATTCGGATGTTGGCACAAGCTCCAAAAGTCCATGCAGTGCAAATCAGGCACGAGCACACCAGATTATTTGGGCACCCGCCGTGATTTGAACCCCTCAGAAACCAAGTTGGTTGTTTATGCCCATCTTGGGCTGAAGTTACTGGCCTTTGTTTTCCGAAAAACGTGTTGAGTGCGTGTTCTCCACGAACAAAATCGCGGGGATGGGGCCCAGTCACTCTATGCGTCACAAGGCTCTACGAGCAAATAGCTCGTTCGGGTTTCGTGCTCTGCAAAATTGGAGAACTCTGTTCATCGTTGTTCTTACATGTCCTGCTGCTATGTTTCTTTTGAATTGCCACCATGATTTCTCAACGCTGGCCTATTGCGTGCAACAAGATATGTTTTGGGTGTGAGCGTGAAGAACAGGAGTGTGAGGCGGTCCAAGGATTCTCATACTGCCGCCGCTTGAGCAAGCGAGTCGCAAGTCAGCTGTATTCGGCCCTGACGGGGCACGTTGTCATGACCAGTCCAGGCCCGGATATTGCATGATGCTTGTGCCAGCTCCTCAGCAGTTGTCGAAAAGCACACATCTTGCCTGTGAGTCTGGAACACATTTGAACAAAATTCTTACTCGCAGTATATGTTGAACCACATGGAACTTGTTTAGATACATTGTGGGAGTTGCAAAGGTTTAGGAAAAGAGTCTAATCGTGTATCTTTGAGAACAAGCACGATAAGAGCAGAGTTTATTTGGATCTGAACACGGGGGCACGTTGAACATTGGCACAAGACAACAATTCAACATCGGTCAAAAAAGGTAGCAAAAAGGAGGTCCTCAGGCTGCCAATAGATGACAACAATCCAGGGATCATGTCAACCATGTCTCACAAATTGGACCTCCGAAACATGCCGCTTCTGATTGGACCTTTGTTCCAAGTTTGGAACCTTTATCTAGTTTCCTGCTACGAGTTCACACCAATCTGGCTGGTGAACGGGACCCAGCACGGATCGCAGGTCCGCAGCAAGGAGACCACCAAGCGCTTAGCCGTGATCTTCGGCCTGCTACGCTTCAACCTGGTTGGGGCCTCGCCATCTGCGTGTCGTTGCGTTTCCTGTGCGCGAAACGTCGGCTCAGCGGGTCACCGCGGGTCACCGCGGGTATCATCCGGACGGGCGAACGCGGAAGGTCACAGCGCGTCACCGTGGCGACGCTCCGCTTCGACTCGCTCCGCTGATCGGGCGCGACGTCTCAGACGCAGCTGCGGGGCTTGGAACACTTCCTCCGGAACTTCGTGGCGCCGGTCTTCGCTGAGGCCGGTCCGTGGTGGGAGCGGGTGGAAGTGAGCGAAGGTGGAGTGATCGCCAGTGAGTAGTAGTGGTTGATGGTGTTTATAGGATCGCCAGGATGAGGACAGGCAAAGTTGGAGGATGCCGGACCTGGTTAGTTCTTCAGAGTGACCTTTTTGATCCTTTGTGTGTCCCAGGTTGAGGTCAATTAGGCTGTAAAAGGTTGCTCAGGGATCTCCAAAAGGGTCACTTTGAAGATGCTGCTATAGGAGGTTTCCCTGAGAGGATTCTTTGAGAATTTAGCGTTCTTCCTATTTTCATCCACAACGGCGCTGTGTTTCCTGGAGCTTCCTGGGCCACTATAGTACTAGAAGCAGAGCTTATTATATAAATCAATTATAAACTAAAACAAAAGCGTGGATCTCCAACAAATTTCCCCAACCATGACATCATTCGAGGGTTGTTTCAAAACGATTTGAAGAGGATTTTTTGGGGCCACCAGGTGGGTACTTGCCTCCTGATCGCCGATCGTCCTGGTCCACCAATGGTGGAGCGAGACGGACAAGAGAGAGAGTCCGATGGGGTCGTATTAGGTCGGTAGGTCCACCAGAGGGTCACCGGTTTTGGACCCAGGGCGCCATGTGTTTTGGTGTGTGGAGCGCGTTTGAATGAGGGCGGTGAGAGTGGAGCAGCAGAAGCCCAGGGCTCTGTCCATTCTGTGGAGCTCACATCTTCCATTCATTTGGGGCCTTTGTGGCTGTGCGGAGCGCTTTCAGATCCTGAGATGTGTGAAGGATTCAACAGTATATGTTTGTGGGCCTGCCCAGGAGCTAGCTAGTGCGAGCCGTGACCAGATGGTGGCGAACAAACATATTCATTAATTATATTAGTATTTATAATTCATATATTCACATCACCGATGACCACGCCATGTTTCGATATTTGTTTACCATAGGTGATTTCAGTGCTAGTGTCCTGTGAGGTTAGGTAGTCTCGTTGTGTCTTACTTAGAATCTATGTCTGTGCAACAATGGAACATGAAGTTACTGCAACATGCTGCATCCCATACTGCAGATGTACCAAGCATTTCGTTGTCATCAACGTGCAACTTCCTAGACGTCGACAGTTTGGACCGTTTGGAACTGCTAAAAGGGGCTGCCAAGGAGGATTCGCTGACAGTAGGAAACAACTTGGCCACATTTGCCTTTCCGAGCTGCTGCTGCTGGCTCATTGCACGATCCTTGAGATATCAGCACCAGAGCCGAGACAGAGTGTCCTGGTTTGCTTGATATAGAGACTTCCCAACTCACGGGGCAAGGCAGTGGGGTGGCTTTGGGGTAAATACTACGTTCTTGTGTTGTTTCACACACTTTCCTCTTGTGCTTTGGTTCGGTGATTCGGGCTGCATGTATAGAACATATCATACCTTGTGCCTCCAAACACGACAAAAACGTAGGGTTCATCCCAAAACACGAGGTTCTTGGAGAAAACACGAGGTTTCCCATTTTGGTGTTTTTTTCCGCCCATGCCATCTTCGAAGGCCGGGCCACAGGAACTTGAATTCAAACTCAAAAAGCCCAGGTTGATGATCAGAACGAAAAACATCTCAACCAAAAATGCAACTATTGTACCCCCTAAAACCCGTGAAAAAAACACGGGTTGTCACGGTATAATCACGGGTTTGTCACGGGTTTGGGAAACATGATGTTTTTCTGAAAACCCGAGGTTTTTCATCCAAAATCACGGGTTGACACGGGATAATCACGGGTTTGACACGGGTTTGTCACGGGTTATCGGAGCTCTCAATAACGGACCCGAACTTTTCCTGACAAGAGTGTTGATTTTTTAAAACATATTGTGAAACATGTTTTGACCACGGAAAATTTGATAAGTCGGCGGGGGAAAATGCATATAGAGCACCTGCACATGGCTATCGAGGGTTTTGGGGCAAAACACCAGGATTTGGTTAAAAAACCGAGGTTTTCCCTTATGTCACGGCTAAACCCGAGGTTTGTTTTCAAACCCGACAAATTTGTAGGGTTCAGATGCCCAGGGTATGTATACTACATAGTATAGCTGCGTCTCCAAACAAGTTCAGGACGAACAGACGCACACATTCGGTCACTCTCCGACCCTGCGAGCAAATGGGAAACATCCAGCGCTCAGACTACAATGCGCAGTGTGACATTGATGTGCAACATCCCAACTGGATGAAAAACCTTTCGGACCAGTGCTTGCTCGGTGAGTTGTTTATCCCTGGCACGCACGACAGCTGCTCCTTACATGGTGGTGATGCAATTCAATGCCAGTCACTCCCTCTTCCCAAGCAGTTTCGCGCTGGTATCCGCTACCTCGATATCCGGTTGCGTCATTTCAACGACACGCTGCCAGTGCACCATGGCCTCAAATTTCAGCACACCAACTTCACTGGTGTACTTCGTTCCTGTCGGGAGTTTCTGGAAGAAGAACCCAGCGAAGGCATTCTGATGCGGGTGAAACAGGAGTACCAGGCAGCAAACAACACAACTAGCTTTGATCAGCTGGTGAAGGGAACTTGTTTGAGCGTTCTTGGCGCCAAGTGGTTTGTAGACTACAAAGGTAAGCTGGAGGCTTTGACTTTAGGTCAGCTGCGGGGCAAGATCTTGATTTTGCAGCAATACCGAGGGGAGAAGGCGCCCGGGGCCTTTCGCTATGGGTGCTTGGACATCCAAGATGAATACAGTTTGCCCACGGTCTTCCACATCAAGAGCCACTTGGCCTCTACACAGTTATGAACAGCCATTCTTTGATACAATTCTTATCCTCTGGATCGAGCGGATAAAAAGTCAGGCACTGACACCCATTGGGGTATGGGGTGCCCCAATTGGGGTCCAATCACAACCCGGAAATGATTATTGGTTTGTTGGTGGAGACGTGTGGAGACCACCTCATCCCAAAATAGTTATGTAATTACATATAGGGAACCAACTGCCTCCGTTCGAAGGTAGTCGAGGTGGGTGCCGGGGAGGCTAAACACCTTCTCATGATATGGTTGGAGCCAGTGTTGGAGCCTTAGGGATATAACATGCTGTAACGTATTGATAAGGACATGTGTTTTCTTTGATGTGTTTTTTTTTCAATGATGTTTGCTGGCCAGCAAGTCCACTTCCTAGATTCCTGGGGACCTCGTTGATACACCGATCTCCTGTTTGCTGGCCAGCAAGTCCACTTCCTAGATTGCTGGGGACCTCATTGATACACCGATCTCCTTCAGTTCTGGATTTTTGCCAGCAAAACCAAGGCAAGATCTCGCAGATTGAGGACCACTTCAAGAAGAAACGTGGCTGCGTGAGCCTGAACCATTTGAGTGGCTCTGGTGCTGGCTGTTATCCCTACACCTGCGCCCGCAACACGAACTCGGCAGCGTTGGAGGTCTTGCGCAGAAATGAGACAATGCAAGGCACCATTGTTGCAGCTGATTTTCCAGGTAGTGGCCTAATTTCAGAGATTGTCAGGAGAAATGGTTGAGCTACGTTGAGCTCATGAAATACGAGCGCGATAGTACTCGACACATTGCTTCCTTGTTTGATACCCAATTTGTAGCTTGGACTGATCTGCAAAGACTACCAGTGATCCATTTGCTAGCAGTTTGCTCAAGTTTGGCCTCAGTTTTTGGTTTGTGACTCGCAGTCAACCGTAGAACATGATGCACCTGACTAGAATCAAGAGACATGTCCATGTCCCATGGACAGGCGAATTGGGTTTATATTAATATCTTTGGAGTCTATAAGTGACCTCTTTAGGGACTAAGTGACCTCATTCTAGGATCTCAAAAGGTCACTTTGAAGGTCCTGGTATATATCATGTTATATCATTGTGTTGCTGAGTATAGTCAGTATAGTGATTTCAGGTCTAAGACCAAGAATATGTGATCGCCCAACGTTGAAAGTAAGATGTCATTGACCACCAATTGCTTGTCCCCGTGGTGCAGGGTGTCAACTTGCCAGGCTGCCTATGTCAAGGCAATAATACCAGGATCCACCCTGGGAACTCGTTTCATCAAAACAGGCGTGCAGGAAACTGATCAAAACGGAAACCTACGAGTTTGACAAATATTTTGAGCCATTTTGACACTTGACACTCCGAGTTTGAGACATCTTGACACGAGTCCGTTTGAAGCTTTTAGAGTTGACAACCTCTGAGATGTTGCCGGCTCTTGTAGAGAATGCAGCACGAGAGCCAGCGCCGAAGGTGTACAGAATGCAGCTCTTGTACAGACAGTTGCAGTGGTAAGAAACGTGGGAATGAGAACTGTCCGGAGGAGCTGTGAGGTCGATTATATACTATCTCATATTGTATCACAATTCAACTCAACCTTATTACTGTACTATAGGATGTGCACATGAGTTGCCAGCCTACCATGCAGTTGTTCTTCTCAATCACCCTGTTGGATTGAGAAAGATCACTGTCAGGAAGGGCAGGGGTGAAGTGTTGAATTTGTTTGGATGTTGGTAATTAATTACATTACTTGTTGAATCTGTTAGGATGTTTGGAATTGTTTGGATGTTGAATTTGTTGAACAAAATCTGTTTCGACTGCAAAACCGGTGCCTTTCTTTGGCTTATACCCGGATCCGCATGTCGGCAACACACAGACGCCGCGCAACGTTTCGGCAACGGAGTTGCGGACCTCATGTCTCGATGTTCAGCTGAGCTTTGAGGGAGATCAGCTGGTTCATTGGGTAACCACTGAAAAGAGACTTTGAGACTTTCTGATATCCATCCATCTACGATACATCAACATCACATCCATCATTCATCCACTGTTTGTTTCTTTATAGGTGTGTTTCTTCTCGTTGGTCCTTTTGGAATACAGTTGTGTTGGTGATTGGTGTGAAATTGGTGTCCATGACTTCGAGGATCTTTGCACGCGGTCGTCCGGCGACATGCACAGTTGGGTGATGAGACAAAACATCTGGCCTAGCCGGCTTTGCTGGGTTTGTGTCATTCCCCAACAATCCATGGGATTGCAACATTGCTTGCCTTTAAAATAGCTTCAAACCACCCGAAGCTAGGCAACAAATTATTATATAGAGGATTTGCATTCCCATGGAGTGTTTGGGATTTGAACTTGCTTGATCAAGTAAATGAAACTGGTTGTCTCTTTCAGGGAGGCTCAAACCTTCATCCCACTGAAAAAGCACCGGGGACCGCTTCGGGACCCCTCCGACCCATTCGCCTCGCCGGAAGCCGCATGAAACAGGCCTCCTCGCAAGCGCAGACCTCACAGGACGAGTCGTGAGAGGAAACGAAATCATTCATTCACAGCACCAGGAGTCACACGGAGTGAATATGAAGAGATATGCACCAGGAGTCACAGGTCGCTCGGGGTGCCGGGAACCCGAACAGAGGGTGCCGGGATTCCGGGATTCCGAAGATCCACAGCCCCTGGATGGGACGAACCAAACCACCCTGGCCTCCATGTGACTCCTGGTTGATTTGTTTTTGTTTGTGTGTGGATGGCATGAGACCTGGGCCTGTTCGCGTGTGTGGATGGCATGGTGACTCCGTGGGCCGAAGAAGGGTGACCATGTGGAGCCATGTGGACGACCATGAAGAAGAAGGGTGCCATCCAAGTTAAGTAAACATAAACATATATGAGACACCATAACAATTATTGATTATTGGGAGGTAACCATCCAAAAATAACCCAAAAGTAACCATAATGAGAGATTCCGGGTTCCAACAATATGCTAGACGTCGCGGTCATTCTGTTCGACCGCTTTCACTGGCAGAAGTGAATGTTGTTGTTTAATTATTAGTTTTGGAGCTTTCATTCACTTTTCTTCCCTTCCCTCCAACATGGTGTTGGTTTGGTTTTAGAAAAGCAACCTCCCTTCCATGAGGGAGCTTGCTTTTCGATCTTCGGAAACCTTTCTTATTCGGCGGCGAGCTACAACGCTATTGCAGTCCTGTCCGGTCATGTAGTGTTGCAACTCCACTCCAACCTTTATGCAAGTAAGGTTTGGGTACTGTATTGGTCTTTACATGTGTTTTATATGTTTTTACCAGTGATCATCCTTGATTGAAAGATCCGGTACAGCAGTACAGCATGTGTCTTGGCCAAGCTTGGATATGCTTGGATCCTTTGGGAAGATGAGATCAGCTCCTGCATCAGCTGAAGATCAGCCGTATTGGACTCTCTTATGAACATCATCTGAACATGTTGCTTTGTCTTAATCCGAGCTCGCTGGGCTCTTCCTCCGCCGGTCTTGGTCCCAGGAGCGCTTGCTGGTGGCCGAGCGGTGGCAACGTGACTTGACGGTCCATCGGAACATGGCGGTCTGACCGTCATGGGAAGCCAGAGAAAGAAAAACACACACATTGCACAACCAACATGCAGAATGGCTAGGAGGGAGATGGTCATCAACTTGTTAGATTCTGTCTTTGTTGGAGCAAATCAGACGAGATGTGGTGTGTGTGTGTGTGCGCGCGCGCAAAAGGATTGTTTCCGAGAGTTTCGCCAGGTGCATCCACAAACATGTTTATCAGTTGGAACATAGCACATCCTGTGGATAGAAAAGCTCGGTGAGTGCAATATAGTGCAATCTTTTCTTGTTTCATCCTTGCGCCAGGATGGCTGTAGCGGCAGCGATCATTCAGAATTCCAAGTATCTACCACTGGACATGAACTTTCTTAGCAATGGAGTCACATCCTGTTGCAAGTGGGGCCATACCAAGTCACACTATTTTACCTGGGATTTGTATCTCGTCAATTACCTCACTTGCTGGACTGCACAAAGAACAAATACGAGAATTGGACAAATAATGAGTCTGACAGTGTATTTCAATAGGAAGATCTCCAACCAACGGAGGCTTGGTCTATATTCCTTCTCCACGGGTTGAACTGGGAGGTCTCCCTGCTTCAAATACACAAATGTTAATGTGTTTTGCTGTAATTTGAGGGTATCTACAGGAGAGTTCATGGAAGATGACTGGTGGATCCTGTGGTCACTGGTTCAACGGAACACAGTAACCCGCTTCCATCGGCTGGTGGAATCATATGACAGCTGGTGTGTTTGGGGGTTTGCCCACAAAAGTGAAATCACATGTTCTAACCCAGACCGCCTAACCTGATCCATTTCTTTTTCGTCGCCAACCGACACACCGTGACGACTCCAAGGTTTGACCAGTTATCTCAGCCAAGCTGCAGGGCGAGCAGAGCCAGGCCGGACCGATCGATGGCAAGTCCTGGGCACTTTGTGTGGCCAGTCGCGATCTTCAAGAATTACAGCCGACCACGAACAGATCCATACACAACCGGCCCTGGGTCGTCTTCAGACTTCTTTTTTTTGCTTTCGGTTCAGGATAGCTTGCACATGCATCAAACACCAAAATAGCATCGTTTGCTGGGGTAATTAGGTGAGCGAAGTTCACCAATGTTTGTGTGTTATTTGTTTGACTCATTTCGTCGCTGTGGCTGCAAAGAAAATCTGACTATCCTTAAGAACTGGCTGGTCTTGAAAGCAGTCAAAGGGAATCAGTCTTTGAGCTTCAGGAAGCTTTTGTGCGATGTTCATTAATACACTCAATGAACTCTGGCGTTGGATTTGCCCAGAAATGCACTTCAAGAAGAGTCTTCACCCCCACCACTTTGGGGGAAGGCCACAGATCACAGGCGTTGGGGAAGCAACATTCTTATGCAATCGGACTTCTTTAGGAAACATTTTGGGTACTCTTAGTACTCTTGACATATCTTGACAGTGTTTGAGACGCTACGAAACGACACCTTATAGTCATATTAATATTGTTGTTGTTTTCCAAAATCCCGTCTTTATGTCTAACTTCCTCAGTGAAGTTGCCCATCCTTTGCAGGCCTATTCAACCCAAACATGACCCCTGTTTTGATGGAAGTTGGACTGTTGGACCGTATTTTTGCGGGTTTGTTTTGCTTCAAAATAGAGAAACCACTCCGCCATTCTTTTGTCGAAGCCTGTCATGAAATTCCCTAAGAGCCACTAGAGCCACGACTCTCAGGCCAAGTGACGGAAGAGCCGGCGCCGGGAAGCTCGGACGAAGCCCTGTGACCGTGACGAAGGGCGAAGGCGTGACGAATGATTCGAAGGGGTCGAAGGGCAGATGGTGGCTGGCTGAATGAGGTGCTAATTGGTGTGATGGGAACTCGTGGCGACCACGTCCGGTTGCAGCTGGGCCGTGGGTGCTTCAGATTTGACAGGCAGGCAGGCAAGGAAGCAAGCAAATACATACACACCAAAAAACACAAGAGAAAACAACCACGTGTCCAGCCATGTCCATACTTTCTGGCATTTCTTTGTCTCAAATAACATGAACTGTCTGTAGATAACTGTAGTAACAAGTGCATTGCTACTAGTAACAAGGGCAGCAAAAATACTACTAGTCACATCTAGTAACTAAGAAGCCAAGCTACCAGTCAGAATTAACTACCAGTAGCTTCATGTCACTAATTTTGAGGCCTTATGTCTCAATCGCTCGGTCTCAATCGATCTGTGTCTTGCTTCGCCCGTCTCAGGTCCGGGGCGGATCAAGTCCTCGAGGTCGGGAGTCGGGCCATGTCCTTTGGTGAATCGATCTGATGTCTTGGCTTGATAGGAATCTGTTGGGGCTGCAGGCTCATGGGGGTTCTTTGACATGTGTTTTGGGTGGTTTCGGGTTCGGGGTGATGCTAAATGAAAGCCACCCGCCACAGTATGGCGAGTTGCTCGCAAGAGGGCTACTCTGGCCAAGGGCGGATTTGCTTCGTAAGTCGCCGCGGCTCTTCAGTCGAAAACATAGGTGGCCCAAGTTTGCGAGGTGAAGTTGGTAGACCACAACAGAATGTGATGCCATGTCGAACGAGAATGGGATGCAATTCCATAAGACCAAAGAAGCACAATGTAAGAAACCCTTGAAACAGAGAGACTACATTTGGACACGCAGAACTGGCTATGTATATATAGTATATGGTTGAGACCAGTCACCCAATCTAGAGAGTCAAAAGGTAGCAGGCTGAACGCTCCACAAAGGAAGTGACTGCAGCCAAGAGAAAGGCTCTCCAGCACTGATGAGCTTCAGGCTGAGTTAGGTTTTGCTTGGACGGTTCACGGATAAGACTAGACACCCCTGTCAACTGGATGACAAGCTCTTGGACATGTTTTATATTTTTCCCACCACAGGGCGGCCAGGAAACCTGGGTTGATCTTGCACAGGTTACTTTCTTTTTTTTTGTTAGGTTGCCCAGTGCTGCTTTTTGTTTTGCTGTGTACACCTGAAGGGCTGCTTGCTGTGCATGGTGCTAAGTGCCAAGTATGTTGTCAAGCCAAAGCAGCTGCTTCCCTTTGGACCCACAGTTATTGGCTGCCTGTTGGTGTTCGCATGTCTTTTTGCAGGAGGCAAGGGTATTCAACGCAAAAAATAACAAAAGAAGGAGTGGCACTGTGAGCAATATGGTGCCCTGGCCCAGGTGTGCCACAAGAGCACAACATGACAACAACCAGGGCTTGCCCTCAAAAAATAGGGGGTCAACCGTGTGCCTTTGCCAGACGTCAAAGCCATCAATCCTCCCAGACGTGCAACCAAGCCAAAAGATGGAAATGACTAAATCTGAGGCTGAACAGTCCAGGTTTTCAAAAAGGCGGCTGGCATGGCCATGCTCCAAGAAACCAAAACACGATTCCTGAGCAGTCAGGAGCAAAACAAATGATCGGTGAAGCGCAGCAGGCGGCTTGCCCCGACCCCAGATTGACTTGTTTTGCAGTCAGGGGATGAGATCGGAAACGGACATGCAGCAATGCGCTTGTTGACGCAGTGAAATGCAGGCCCGACCTTTCCACAACAAGCAAGGTGGATTGGTTGGCTGTGGAACTTGATGGGTTTGTATTTATTAAGGGCTTGCAGGAGGCATCGAGTGGTGTTGGCACTTGTGGAAGCAGACTTCTAGCATTGGCATGGACTTGAAGTCTGTGGCTGATGCACCAAATGGAAAGTATACTGACACGATCGATGGCTTTGCCTTTCTTAGTTGACGCGCATCTGATCCGATCTTGTGGCCTGCAAGAACCCTGTTGGTTGCAGCTGTTTCTTGGGCGGTCTTTTGGCACCCACGCCAAGGACCTAAGGAGAAGCAAGTCCATGCCCTCCACAAGTCCTCGCAGGTGAATAGGTACGACGCTCCTTCAAGCAGAAACGACAAACAGGTCAAGCAAGCACCAACTCGTTCTCAAGCCCTGCAAGTAAACTCCGTTTTCTACAAACATTCATCCAGCAGACCTTACCCTGCAATCAAGCCGGGAAGACTTGATGTTGCAGCAGGTAGCGTCAGTCATCAGTTGTACCGTTCGGCGTCACATGCACATGAGAACATATCTTGGCTCCACAAAATCCAAACGTCAGTCAGACGTCAGGCGTCACCAACTAGCAGCAAATATACAATATAATAAGTAGATTAAGAACACATGTTTCACTGAGCTTACACATCAGGGTTGCGTCAACAATTGATTTGTTAGCAGTTCATTCCTGGCAACAAACAGTCCGAAACAAGTGAAAAACCGCCAACTCCAAACCACCAACCCAAACCAACAATTTATGTCAGCCTGATCTTTTTTGGGAGCCCTCCGATAGCCCATGGACCAGTTCAAAACCCCCCAAAGAAGCCACTCAGATGCTTGAATGTTGCTTATAATACTCCATTTACACCAGGTTGCTGGGTCACAACATTGTACCACCAAAATCCTGGGAGAGAAGCTGCGATCATTTTCTCTTCCTCTCCGGTGCAGGTCTTAATGCTGGGGCTCCGTCTGAGCGAGGCGGCTGGACGGAAGGCGAGCAAGGAGGACGGGGCAGAAGGCCTCGCTTCGGGCGGCCGATAATTAGAAGGTTCGATATGATTCTGGTTCTCAAGATCATGCTAAGGATAATTACTTTATATCACTTTACGAATAAATTCATCAACCGATTGCTGTGATGATATCGATCCCAATGAGATGTACATCCCAGGCCCTGCCGCATGAGACCTCCTCATGGTCTCGTCGAGGTCCACATGCCGCGGCTAAGCGAAGACGGTCTTCGGCGTCGATCCCCAGGACTGGGAGCAGCTGTGCCAGGAGATCCGATCCGATCCAGGCACGGGCAGTACCGCCTTCCCGTTCGCCGCGAGCTCGGCTTGACACGCCGCGAGCTCGGCGGAGTAGTCGAAGTACGTCGAATTGAAACGGCCCAAGATCTTAGGGGATTTGGGTGAAGAGATGTGAAGAGTCTTTTTGAAGGATGATTGTTTTAGCTTCAGCTGTGAGCTCCCCTCTGATTGCCCCAGACTGTCACTTGCAGGACCTTCCAACAGGTGTTTTTTTGACACCCCGTAACCACTAAGAGGCTTTTCATAGACACCTCTTGCAAGGTCCTGGTGGAGATCATCCATACATACTGATCGTGTTTTACCCGTGTGCATGATTTATTCTGTGCTTAAAAACAAAACCGCATGAATGTATTATGCCATAGCATGAAACTTGATCGAACGATTCCGATACTTTCTTGTCTATCCACCATTACGGAACAAGATATGTTTGCCTCGGTTGCTTTTTGGTTGCTGCATTTTGGTTCGTGTGGTCCCTTCCCACAACTGACAAGAAATCCCTCCAGTGCAGCACCCAAACAGAGCAGTGTGGACGGAGCTGACTCCAAGACCCATTTCGGTCAGTTCAGTGCGTTTAGCTGCCACAAGACAAGAGACTCCTTTCTTGGCTATCGGCTATAGGTATTGAATGTAAGGCTAAGGCATGCTAAGGCATATGCCTACATTGACCCCTGGGAGCCACCGCAATGTATAGTAAATATGTGTAAATATGCCAGTCCCAGACAGGTCGTGTGTGGGACATGTTTGACCAAAACAGCACCTGAACCTTGGCAAGGCCACAGAGTCGGGCCTCCCACATTGCCAAAATTTGAGTTAATCCTGGTGGGAGACGACTGGCGAGAAGATTATATTTCAGAGGGGGTACATGGAGGGCACAAGGGTTGGTCAGTCTGATTAGGGTAGCATGCTGTTAGACTGATGTTAGAAGCTATTGTCAGTGAGGCATGCTGCTTAACTGGCTTTTGAAGAGAACCTTGGAAAACGCGATGGACCACAAAAGAAAACATGCAATCATCTGAAATGACAAGACTCGTCCGCAGACACAGACACACAAACTAGAGGGTTTTGTTCCACAAAACTCGAGCGCCGTGCCGTGCCCCTGAGGCCTCCCAGGGCTGCTGGAGAAGATTCGCTCGCCTCGGCGAGTGTCCCGGCTGAGCGGCGAACCGCGCGCCACGCGTGGCTCCCTCTCGGCGCCGAGTGCCTTCCTGGTGAGGACACTGGTTTGGGACCTTAGAGTTAGTTTGGAATTGATCACAGAAACTCCTGACATGAACCTTTCACTGTGGATTTGAAAGTCGAACTTATAGATTTGTGATAATTTTGCAGGTCCTCAGGTACTCCATAATTCCACATGTTGGACTTTGCCTCGGACCTGTTCTTTTTGGGTATCCAAGAAAAGAACGAGCAACAAAAAAAGATCCGCCCTGCTACGACCAGGACCACATTGCCGCCCTGCTACGAAGACGGCCCGCCGCTGCTGCCGGACGCGCCGGTCCCGGTGCTGCCGGTCGCGCGGCGCGTCTCGCGGCCGCAGAGTGCGGCGCGGAGCCGGAGCCAAGTGGAGCCGTTTAGGCGGGGCGGCGTGGAAGACGGAGAAGGTGAGGAAAGAAGGAAGCAAAAACCTGTGAGCTGAGCTCATTTTTGATCTGAAAGGGTTTATACGAGATGTAACCTTCAAAATCCCTGCTCATGTGTTTCTATTGTTTTGGCAAAAACTTGTAATTATACACATATATATATATATGGCCAGCATGTAACGAAGGACCAGCCATGTGACCCATTTTGGCATCACTTGGAGCAGACAGACTTAATAAAGTCTGACAAACCGGATCTCTTGAAAGCAAGCAAAACCATGTCATCGTGTTGCTGATGTTCCATGACCGTGCTTTCTACATTGGACCAGGTCCATGTCAATGTCGGGTCCCTGGTGTATTTGCATCACCCAACCCTTTTGGTGCTCTAACTCCCTGGAATTCAACAAAGAAGCTACTAGGGGCTCCTGGCATCGCTACTAGGAGCAAGGACGCTACGAACGGGGCAACCATTCATCATCCTCCAGCGATACCTCCAAACATCCGTTCAGTTTGACTGGGACAACGGGGTACATAACCCAATATACACCAACGTAGTAAACCAAGTCAATGATTATATATATATAATCATTCCCCAAAAGAGGAGGACACAACAAGAATCTAACTTGCTAAGAATATGTGACTTCCGAAACAGATGGACTCTTGGTTCTATCCCACCACTTGCACTACCTGTTTCTTTTCCTGAAAACCGTGTCTCTTGTCCACAACCGCCGCGATTTGCAGGAGTCATCCGGTACCTGGTTGGTCAGAGACGACCCAATGAGCGGGTGAACAACACCCGGAGGGAGCTCACGAGCTGGCAGGATGATGGATGGGATTTGCGGCTGAAACCAGAAGGAAGAAGCGTTGTTTGATGGGATTCGTGCTTGGTCTAGACGTGCAGAAGCCTGTGAGGGCGAAGAACCAGGCACGCACAGTCCGCCAGTCCGGACCATCCGGACCATGTGTTGCCCAACTCAGCCGGGCGACGTGTCCGAAATCGGGAATGGCATTATCCTGGTTTTGCGGATCAGGTGAATCAGGTGATTGTTATTTGTGTTTAATCCTTCCGAAGCAAACAAATCCACGCTATCATGCTGATTTGTTCAACATGATATTTGCTGGTTTGCAGTAGACGGTCTTCAGTTGTCTTCAGTTGAGGTATATAAACTGTCAATCTCCAATAAGGCACATGTGGACACATGTGGGCACTGTCAAAGGAAACTTCTGTTTCTCGCTGGATCCATCCCGGAGTTCGATTTCCAGCCGAGCTGCTCGAATCAGCTGGAATCGATGCTTTAGTCTCACCGATGTTCATTGGCTCTCTCATTTGGCTTGTGGAACATCTCTTTGGAGAGAGCGGCGAGAGCGGCCAAAAGGTTGAGAGAGACAGATGAGCGTGCTCAAGTGACGTGTACATAAGATGCTCTGCTGAAACCGGCAGGTCAGCCCAATCCGGGCTTTCCAGAAGCTCAGTTAAAAATCAGAGCATTTGCATGTGTTCACCCGTGACAGTTGATGAGAGGCCCCGCATGAACATCAACCACGTGAGAGCTCTCTGAACGGTGTGCCCAATGGAGATCAACGCCAGTCTGTGCGCAGCCACTTGCCGCTCGAACATGGAGAGCAAGATGGGCTGGCCATCCAGCAGTCTTAAGGGCAAAAGCAAATTGCCAATCCCAACATTGATAGATAAGTGTAGCGCCAAAGATCTTGTGCCATCACATCAAGAATGTGCCAAACACAAGAATCGCACTCGGCCGATATAGCAAGCTTTCATCCTGCTCGCCACACAGCTCGACTTGCCACACAGCCCCTGCTTGCAGAACCAAACATTTCATGTACAGCTCGTGCTTTGTTGACCCACCTCCCCAGTGACCCCGCAGTGGACCGATGGTCATTGGTTTGGGTAGCTTTGTGGTCAATTTGGCACCTGGGCAGAATGGCTGGGTGTGGTGTGGGCCTTTTCAACACACCTGTCAGGCCCCAAAGTGGGAGGCGACCTGAGGGAGACTGATCGAATTGGCAGGTGACCTGTTCGAGGGTTCTGGATGGTTCTGGTTTAATCAAGTTAGATTTAACATGATTTAACTGTTACATTTAGGGAAGATGTGCTCGAAAGTCGTACAGACCATTTCTGCAATTTCTCCCATCGTCCAAGCTGACTTCTTGTCGGTGCCTCCTAATCTAACCTCCAAACTGCCAAGTGTTAATATCAATGTGACTGTTCCTTCAGTTTGATACCCCATTGACCAGAATCCTCCAACAGCTTGTGGCCGAAAAAAAGGGCTGCACCGTCTTCTTGCTGGTTCGCCTCGAGCTGATTCTGCCGATCTTGAATGCTTTCCTCACTTCTTGGCGCCGTGCACGAGGCCGGATCGATACGTCGAATTTCTTTGTTTGGCGGGATCCTGATTTCAGATATGAACCTTCGGGCTCCGATTGAATATGTTTGATATATTTTGATATCATTTAACATGATTGAACCTTCTGGCTCATATTTGTTCAAGTGAGTGGAAGCCACCAAAAGGCAAGCACCACCATCCTTCAATGTTTCTTGTTGAATCCACTGGATGTTGATTGTGGAAGAGAAGAATAAATCGCATAGCCAGTTAAGCCTTGTGGTCATTGGAGCAGGTTCATAGAACCAGGGAGCCCTTTTCAGATGTCCCCTCAAATTAGTTTGTGGGTTCCAAATGGATGTCGTACAGGGTGCATGTCATTTGGTGCACCGGCTTTGTTTACATCCAGATCCATGTTGCGATGAAAACTAGGGTGGAGGCCATCGCTACTAGGAACAAGAAGCTACTGGATGCTACTGGTAATGTGCGGCTTGTCATCTCTCTCGCTCCAATTCCTGGAGATGCGAGACATCTTTATCCGGTGCCACAGTTCATAGGATTCCAGTGAAAAAGAAGAACACATCCTGAGACATGTCATGAAAACCTTTGTTTTGTTGTGTATATGGTCATATTTTTCCCGGACATATTGGCACGTCTAGCTAGAGCCTGTAGAGTAATACCGGTGCAAAGAGGAAATCCATCAACAGCAAGCAAGCAATGTTGGCCTACTAGTTGTTTGAACCACCATTATCAGGATCCATCAGGGATCTTGAGCCGATGATTGATATCAGTTCCCATTCACTGCGCAGAATAAAGAAGATGGTGCTGACAAGCCGAGCCAATGATTTTTTGTTGGTGAGCGGCCTGATGTACTTCGAGGTTAATCATTGAAAGTTCCTCATCAGGAACGCTTCATTTTGTGAAAGTATTAGCATTAGTCATTCCCATACACTCCATGTTTTTTTTGCTTTTTTTGCCTACATTGGCGTGGTTTTGGGGGTCAGTGTAGGCAAAAACATGGCAGTCCCATGGGTGGTGTCTGTTGTTTCAGTTTCAATGCTCTTTGCACTGCCAGAGTGGAACCTCGCCAGGTCCGCGAGGTATCACGCGACGCCATGTCGTTTGGGACGAAAGTCATGTGTGTCAGGGTCGAAGCCAACTTGCTTAGGGCTGATGAAATCTGAAACCGATCTACTTTATAGTGACTCACCAGCAGTATGGTATACTTTTTCTGGCTGAGAAGAGACTTCCAGGCTGGAGCAGTAGTGATGCTGTTCTGGAGGTTGGACCCAGGACTGCTTGTGTTCTGGTGAGTTTCAGAAGCGGGTGGATCTCTGGAGTTGACGGATGTTTTTGTGCGTGTCAACTCGAACTGGCAAATGACGCCTCAATGAAAGAATACAGCTATTCTTTCATTGGATGCATGTAGAAGAACACAGGTATCATGTTCTTGGTATGATTGAACAGCTGCAGGATTGCTCTAAACATGCAGTTTGTGATTCAAGAGAAGCTGGTGCAGAAGGTTCGCTGCGGCGTGAGCCTTTTCCTCGTGGCCATCGTCGCCTGCATGGAGCGATGACGAATGGACAGTGAACGGTTTGTAGGGAAAAAGCAAAGTTTGTTTTTTCCATGTCATGTTCAATGAATGGGTTTAAATTTAGAGGAACATCTGCAGGAAACCCGTGTTTTCACCCCCCAAAACCATGCCTTTCCTGTTGATTGTTCCCTTAAACCACTTCTGTGACATGTGCATGTGGCGAGCAAAACGACTCGGGGTGTGGAGAGGGGCAGACACCATGTTTCACCTTCGACAGACTGGTCATATCTGTGGAGCAGTTTCCGGAGTCACACATGTGGAGCACCATGTGTCCACGGTTCCTGGAGCCTCATGTGTCCATACCGCTCATGGTCGACCATTGGGATGACAGTCCTGATGACTTGGTATGGAACTGTGATGAATTTCAGGGAGTGTATTGTGAAACCAAGCTGGACAAAATGGTCTACTTGCATGTCTCTACAGTTCTGGGGCCACCAGTCCTGTGATCATTAGGGGGCTCTTCACTTGCACGTCCTCGAGCTGGAATCGCTGGAAGCCGATGAACTGCTCTCCGAGGCTTTGCTGTTCACATGCTATCTTCCGCGCATCCCAATGCTGTGTTTGATGGCCTGCCTGTGGGACGCTGCAGCTTGAGCAGGATTGATGTGCTCCTGGTTCTATCGCATAATTTATACTGTTTTGGTATAAAGGGTCTTCACATCAATACGTATTCAATAGTCCATCGCGGGACGATCAGACACAGGGAGCGACGGGGGTCCCAGGTTGGTGTGTTTTCTCCTCTCTTCCAGGGTAATCACTTGTCCTTGTAGATCGATATATTCTCCCAATCACCAAGTGTGGAAAACCCTCCTGTTCGTAGAGCAACGTCTTCCCGGGGCCTATTTCCCAATCTTGGTGGGTCAGAATGCGAGTCTTTTGCATGCTTTGATTGATTTGTGTCAACCAACACTCAAAAGTCATACCAACACTGCACGAAGCTGCATGGGTTTGCCTCACAACTGACATGCCCCCCATGTATTGGAGATCTTCACTTACATGTATTGGGGGAGACCAGCGACCGGGAACTTTGGAGTGTCATATCTGGTCGATATTGGTCACGTTTGTTCAAAAACCATATTCCCAAACCAGGGTATATAGGTTGACCTCATTAATGGTCTATTCCGTTCATTTTTGGTGGTCAACCCAGGTAGCCTGGTTTTGACCCACAGGCATATTGGTCATGTGCCAGTTCATTCTTCATTAATCATTGTTTATACATGCCGACTGCTCCAAATGTCAAGCTGTGATCCTGGATGTTCTCGGGAACAGCCTAGAACGGAGGCATGCCAACCACTCGAACACACCGCAACTGGTGACTATAGAAGCTTAGCTGACCAACCACTACAACTTGACAACAACATGCGGATTGAGCGATTGGCGGTTCCGATTCGTTTGTTTGGGCCCTTTGAAGTCTGAATCGGTTTCTATCACGCCGGGTCTTTCTGCCGGGTTGTTTATACCTTTGAGCAAGGGAGCAAAGTGAACAGACAAGTCAATGCAACCTTCCTGCAGGCCGATGTTTTTCCTACTCAGTCAATGTCTCCTCAGCTGAGTGTTTGGACTTCCTCAGTTGGTGGCCCCAGCTGGTTCTTCAACGTTTGAGCCTCTTGAATCAGTGATTCGAGCTGGTCAAGCAAATGGATGTGCCGCCACCAAAGGCTTCCCCACAGCGCCGGAAAAGAACCCTTCCAGTTCTCCAACATGGATACTGTATGATATACTGCTTCTTAGTCTCTATATATGATTGAATGACCTACAGAGGCCAGATTCCAAGGCTAGTGACCAAACGGTGGCTACAGAGGCCAAGCATCCAGACGAAACTTTGCAGTGCAGTGCGGCGCTGCGCTCAGGTGGCCGTACTACTTTCACCTCATGAGCCTCAGAGTCAACTCATGTGGAAAGATGACCGGCACGGCATCCCCTATGGACTGCAAGCAGGCGGTGGTCGCATGTGAAATGGAATAAGCCATGATGAACCAAGCCATGTGCAGATAACCGTAATATATATATATAGTTATATATAATGTTATTTACATATTGTTCAGTGGCGCAGTGTTTCGTTTTTTCATATTGTTTCAGCCGCTTTCCGTGTTAATTATTGTTCTTTGTTATGGTGGTCTTTTTGATGGTGGCTTTAGCGGAGATTCGTTTTTCAGCCGAGTGAAGGGATCGGGTGAGATTCTCAGTTTTTGTCCACTTCCATACTGGATGTTTTTACTGGTTGAATGTTTTTGATTGGAACGAAATGAATTCCAGTTATTGATTTGGATTCTCAGGTTACATGATTCTTTTCTTCCCCTTTTGTTCACTGGTTGGACGTTTTTGCGGGTGAGGGGACTTAGCATAAAATATAGACATATATGGCTTTGTTCTCGCACCGGCAAAGCTACACTTTCACAACAAGAACGATAATACATATTTGTTGACACTGAATTTTCCAACAGTTCCTGACAAATCTAAATTAAAGGTACTTGATGGTACATGCAACTATGGATGTTTTCAATTGCTGATGATGTGCAGTCCATGACTTTGACTGCACCAAGTGCAACTGAAGCGTCACTTTGTGGGGGCCTTTACTTTGGATAAAAGGCAACATGTTTGTGATGCAAGCAGCACTCGTAATCAGATACATATTCAGATTCACATCACGAGATAAGATTCATTCGCGTTCGCTTTACTGGATCAACTTGCAGAAGAGTCTCAAGCCACCAGTTCGATCCCCAACATGGAACTTCCCTGAATCCGGTCGTTTGGACTCTGTTCTGATTCAGATGCTAGGGGTGTGCTATCATTAGATGATGCAGCTTTTGTGATGGTGAGATCATGAGATCTCTTCATTCACCTGCTCTTTGGAAGACCGCCATTCACCATGTTCAAACCATGCAACCTTCCTACTAGGGGCTGGCTTCCGCAACTGCTTAGAGCTCCCATTGAAACACCCTTTTCGTGCCAGGCAGCTACTCTCAACATATGGTTTTCACTGGTGGCATTTCTTTGGCTTGTTACGCTGCTTGGACCTGATACGAGTCAAGACTGGTTCATTCACAATCGATTCTGACGGTTTCAGATTTATGCCATGTAGCCTATAATACTACTCCATAGTTTTTCGAATTGAAAGGACAATTCAGGTAGTAGATAATTCAGCTTAAAATGCTATATTGACAATTATTGACATTACAGTAATGTATTGGACCCAACGAAAGCAGTTCACAGCATATTGTGCGTTTGGGTTTGGTGATGATTGGACTCTGCACATCGGACGGACGTCTCGTGGAGATTCTCCGCCAAACGGCTCTCCAAGCGACGACCGCGATGGCCTCCACCCTAGTAGCTTCTTGCTACTAGTATAGTAATGGCCTCCAATGGCAACCTAGTAGCGGCCTCCAAATGGTTCCTTGGCCTCCATAGTTGGGTTGATGTCCCCCATGATCCCAAGCAGCCCAAAAGTAGAGATTCCGGAAAAGCACATCCCCAAACCACCCGAAACATCAGAAAGCAATAGCTTTGATTCTGCCCTCAGAATTTTCGGACCCTCTTTGACAGGTGAAGGTGAGGTTCGGGTCCAAAGGTTCCGTTGCGCTCAGAGATGGGGCAGCACCGGGACACCTGTGGTTCGAATAGACGCCCTTAGACATGGTCAACTCCGGGTGACCCAGAGCGGAGCGAACAGGTCTTGGGTGTGGTCCACTTCATCCTTGAACGTTTCGGCACCGAGGGCTTTCAGGCGCGGTGTCCCGCTGTCCAAACACGGATGGCGTTCCGCTTGGGCAAGTGTCACAGAACTGGGCTGTCGGTGTTGCTTTGCAGTGGTTGCTGGTGGTCTTTCGGTGCAAAACCCAAGTTCAAAGGTGAAGTGCTTTTAAGCTAAACCCCTCCAGAGTCCAGAGGGTCCAATGATGGTACTATAGATTGTGTTTTGAATATGTCTCATCCAGATTGATGGGCCACTTATTCCAGAGTCGTGCTTCTTCCCCCCATGGAAGCCCTATAGAATCCCTGGAAGCTCCGGTCCGCCACAGCGGGTCGTGCTGCGACGCCGTGCAGGACTGCGACTTCGCCGGTGCCTCGAGCGGCAGCTGGGCAGCGATGGTGGCGCTCTTGGCCACGCAAGGCGCTGGGCGTGTGGATGTGCTCTTCCAATCAGGCAGGCCGCCACTGGGGACCGGGACAAGCGCCAACTTAAAACGTCTCGGGCGGTTCATGTTCGGTATTTTTGGGGGGGGACAACAGAGGTGATGTGTGGAGGTGAACCAGGAGGTTTACTTGCCCGGCACAGGGTGGGCGTATGGTTAGGGATGTGTTTCAGGTTGAGGCCCAGGGCAAGCTGCCGGGGATCCCTACAATCCTCCAGTCAGTGATAGCCCTTCACTCCAATCAGCTCAGGAAGCAGTGGATATGATATGTGGGTCAAAACGTGGAGTCCTGGTCCACCATGAACTCGCAATGTCGCCGGCAGGTCAACCAAGGTATCCTGGTGCCATGACCCAAAGCCATGCAAGTTTGGTTGTGGAAGATCATGGAAGCTGGTCAGCGAATGTTTCAAGTTGGGGTGTTGAGATTGGAACTCCCGCAAGCTGAGAACCTTTACTCTGTGATACTCTGTGTGGGCAGCTCTTCGGAAGTGCCCGAGTGCGTTTGGCGAAGCATCGAGGGTCAGTCTTGGTTTCCAACTTGCAGTCCAGAGTGCTGATGAATGGAAGGATGTTCCACAAAAGATTGTTATTTGTTCATATAGACGTTCTTTTTGTTTCTTCCGTCGAATGCTTCTGAGTGCTTGGGCTTGTTTCATGTCATTGTCATGCCACATGGGATCAGCGGACATGGTCAGAGATTGACCACTGAGTGCCCTTCGAGGAATCGGATTTTCCTTTCAGAAAGGCTGAAATCAGCCGCCTATACTGAACGCTACTCATGTCCTGAACAATACTTGGAGCCGCAAGAGTTTTCTACAAACTCCCAAGTGATGAGTTTGTTGTATGATTGTTGATGTGCTTTGCGGAAAGCGCTCGTTTTGCTGGCAATCCCCGTGCTGTTTCAGCCGCTTGCTTTCTTTTCTTCTTACACACCTGGCTTGGAGGTCACGCCAAGCAGTCAAGTCGATGTTTCTTTCGCGCTCCTTTCACGTCCTCCCCGGTGGTCCCCCACCTGCACCCTCTTCAGGCGTCCTCGCTGCCGCCTCTTGGACGAAAAGTGGGTCATGAAAGTCTCATGGTCTCATGGTGACGTTATTTGGAACTTCCCGATTTGAAGCTTCAGCCATTTCCACCCCAACCATCATTGGACCCCCCAGTCGTTTTGACCCTGCATAGCAAGTAGGTGGATTTCGAGATGTGACTGGCTCGAACGCATCATGAACATATATATAATAACATATATTTATTGAACATGCCCAAGTTACGATCAGCCTGTTTGTGTCAGCGTGTGGGTTGTTTTTATTTGTCGACCGTGTGTTGTCGTATGATGTGGTATGGTCTTGTTGAGTCCTTTTGCCTGAAGTTCAGGAAATATCCATGAACTGTCCATTGTAGGGAAACCTGAGAAAATTATGAAATGTGTCGATGATGTTGATTTTTTTCTTCTGGGGTGGTTGTCACTGGAATCATGACCGTGAGCAAAGACAGCAACAATGTTCGGACGTTTGATTCGCACCCACTAAAAAGGATAATAACATGTTGTGAGTTGTTTTTGCTTTGCTGGTCTTGAATGAACCATTTTGATCCATTCTGCAGGTCTATTCTTGACTCCGTTTGTCCATTGAGGTCTATGTGGTCCACTTGTTCCCATTCCCCTTCTCGTTGCTTCTGCCGGGCTGCCAAGCCATTGAGAGCTTTGCGGCCTCCTTGGCATGGCTCGCCAAAGTGAAGGCTCCAGGAGCGCAGCGAGCGCCGGTGCCACACTCGGGACCTCAGTGGTCTCGGTGGCACGCGATGCGTTGCGCCCCCTGCAGATATGAAGGAACACATCCCACGCTATCCTCGGTGCATGTTTGTTGTTCATCTATCCGAAATCCTTTCCGAACTTGAAGGTCTCCCATACTTTGAGGTTATAATATCGACCATTTAAACCTTTTGCCGTTGAAGCAATGAAAGTTGGATCGATCTCAACATGTACTTGGCTAGCTGTATGAGGCAACCTAGCTGCACGATGCTAAGCCAATCTAGCTTCATGTGGCCGCTCACACTCCAGTTAGCAGACCGTGCTTGTTTTCACGTTTCCTTATCAGCTCGTGTGGCTGGACTCGCATTCTGCAGGAGCCTATGAGGCGGTGACCTCCAAAGGGAAGCTCTTGATTTGGATGCTTGGGCCAATGGACTCGTTGAAAGGGAAGATGTACAGGAGACCTTGGCTTTTTTCACCCTCCAAAGCCATGGCTTTCACCTTCCAACGCCATGGCTTTCACCCTCCAAAGCCATGGCTTTCACCCTTTAAACCTGTTCTGAGATTGGGTCAATCCCAGCTTTTCAGAGGGATGTGGGTGTGAGGCTGATGGATGGCACAGTGTGTGTGAGAGTTGGTCACTGACTGGCTGAGAATCGGAGAATCGGCGGCAACAATTCCTGGATCCAGGCTGGGGATACTATACGGGTATATTTAGTGGATTATATATACCTTGGGTTTGTCCAATCTTACCTGTACCAGTCAGCAAACAATGATCACTATGTTTGAACAAGGCGGTCTTTCCACTGTTGCAGGTATTAGGATACACCCAATGTAAATACATACCCCTTGAGATAATCGTGGAAGTGGATGGCACCACCTGTTTGGTATTCGGAAAATGGTCTTCCTTTCAGGGCCATGCCATCCACGTAACATGACTATTTCAGGGAGTATAGTGTAGTGCCCCACAAATCAATGGAAGATTTGCCTACATTGGGGTGGCTTGAAGCTGTTTTAAGGGTTAGTGTAGATAAATGTTCCAGTCCCAAGTCCCACCCAGTGCTTCCTGTTTCATCATCTCTCCAGTGTGTGTCGATGTTGGGAGTCCAAGTACAACGGTATTGAGAGGCAGGTGCTTTGAAGGCACAGTGCAGGTGCAACATGCACCCCTTTTCAAACACCCCAAAATAGGCTACAACATGCCTAGTCCCGGACAGCCTTTGTTCGGGTATCGGTGAGGCGTTCCCCGGCTTTCCCATCGCATGGCACTCACCGCAACGAGCATCGCAACGATCATCCGTGAACTCTTAATGATCGGTGTTGGTTTGGTTCAAGCCTAGTAGCGTCCTTGCTCCTAGTAGCGATGAGGGGAGCCTCTAGTGGCTTCTTGCTCCTAATAGTAAGGCCAGGAGCCCCGTTCGTAGCCTTTGTTTTTGATGATTGAACTATACCGACTAATAAGTAAGGTGAAACATGGTGAAACCACCAGCTCAAGAAAAGCCGGAGTCGGTGAACGCGCAGCTGTTCGTCAAAAGGAGAGGCTGTTCGTCTGGGAACGTCAAAGGCAACATGTCACATCCCCAACAATCCATGTATGGAATATATCCCTATACATTGGGTGCTTTATTGGTCGATGTAGGTGTATGCCATATACCACATATACCTGGCCATGGGTATTCTAGCAAACCGTCTGGCCACTTGTCAAGAAAAATTGGCCATCCAAGAAGACCACTTCCCTTGAATACGACGATTCCAGTTTCAGGCCCGCACAACCATCGCTGGACTTTCCGACAGATCCCAAGAGCTACTTTCCTGGAGATGTTACTTATAGCGGAATTAACTTGTTGTTGTACTTAAACTTACTTCACTCCGTCACTCCTTATGATTTTTGACTCAGAACATGAAATACACTATAAGTAGCTGGTACTTGGTGATACTCATAGGTCTCATAAGTCAGGTCTCTTCGTCCTGACTATCTGGCGATTGGGAAAGGGCGCCATGGTCAAACCGCAACGCCGAGATCCCTGTTCCTTTCTGGCGCACAAGCAGCGACATGCATCCACATACATCCAGTCATACATCGATTTGCATCCATCCTTTTGACCCAGTCACCCCACAGTCCCAGTCACCCGGACAACGTCTTCTTCCTTCGCCGTTCTTCCGAGGTTCTTCGCCTTCAGCCTGCGGCGCTTCAAGGGTCGCCGCTGCTATCGCTTCGCCGTGCGCGGCGGACCAGACTTCGAGAGCCCCAACCGGCTAGGCCGGACGCGCTCCGGCGCGGCGCGGGACTGGCGGGCGCAGGGGGTGTTCTCGGCGGAGGTTTGGGGTGGGTTTTCTTTGCCCCCCATCCGACTCAGTGGTTTAGTTGGTGTTTTTGGGGTGTCAGAACATTAGTATATACACCCCCTTCAACAAGCATGGAAGTGCGCAATCCCCCGGTATCCACGTCACCAAGATGTTTTTGTTGTTTAAAATGTGTTTTGGGGTGTGCAAGCTCATGATAAAGGTGTCGGGAATTCAGTCGCCCAAGAGGGAGTCAGAGAGATTGGGAGTCAGAGTCAGAGGGCTTTCTGGTGACGAAGTCCAGTGTTGTGATGGAGGCTGTGTCATTCAGAAACACTGAGAGATGACTGCCTTTGGAATCTTCATGAATCTTCAAATCGTGGTGCGAACCAGCCATCCATACCACGCCCGTGCTGCGCGAACTGCGCTGTACCAGTCGAGTGGTATACCCTTCGACCGCCAGGAGCGGTGATTGCGGCCACCAGTGTCTTCCCCTTCTTGACGTCACCACGGCTCTGCAGCGGCCTCCAATGCTTCCCTGCTGTAATGGATGGATATTTCCCTGGCAAGGGAGTCACTTTGAGCAAATTGGAAGGGTCCTAAGCATCCCGCTGACAGCGATGTGCACTTGGTGTTTAGGTTTCTGTTGTTTGATCGCCGAGAGCTTTGTCGTCAGGTGAGTTTTTTGCCCGTGCCCGACATGATTGCACCATGCGTGGGCAACACTCTGCTGTTTGATATCAGTGGAGGACTGCGAGACTTCTATGCAGGCGGGCTCCGGATCTGAGGCGGAGAGGTGTTATCGCAGGTCGACTGAGACTTGATCTCTATAAGGGCTCCTGTCCGACTTCCGTTTCGAAGGTGGTTAGGGTGGGTGATGGTGGGTGGCTTTGGGGGGGTTCTACACACCGAACCTGAGGAGATGGGCCATGCAAGCAGATTCAATTACACCCCATGAAATACCGTGATTCAAATACTGGTTTCGTCGATGGTGGTGACGGCCGCCCGATGTTCGACTCGAAGTCGAGCATGAGTTTGACCAAAGAGGGTTGTTATTTTCACTCCCACATGACCATGGATTGTTTCACTGTACACGGCCACTAGACTCTAGACGTGCAAATCGATGGAAAAGATGCAGAAAACACGGCCAAAAAAGGGTACAACAATCAACAGTCTATATATACAGGTGCCACGCATGCTTCATCAAAAAGCCGTCGGACCCACCTAAATCGGCAGTGCTTGGAGAGTGATGCTGAGTGACCCTGCAGCTTCTTCTCTTGACACCAAGACAAGTTTGTTAAAGTTGTGATAAGGAATAGCTGAACAAAAGTGGTTGTGAAAGTTCCCAACTGCCAGTGTGAAGAGAACAACCAAGACACTTCATGAACTTATGTTCTTGGTGCTTGGATTCAAGAATCTCGAGCTGAAGCCATGAATGCCACCATGATCTTCTCGGCGTCTCACTGGCAGGTGATGAGCGAGTGCAAGTTCTGGATATCCAGCAAGCTGGTTTGCGTCAGAAGGGTTTAGGGTTTTGGGTTTTAGGGTTTAGGGTTTAGGGTTTACGGTTTAGGGTTTTGTCAGATGTCACCGGTGTTTCAAGATCGACCAGCTGGTACAAGTAAACAATGACCAGGGAAGCGCATAATCCTGGCTACTGAACGTTGAAGAACCGGCCATTTTTACTTTTTACGATTGTTAAACTGTGGACTGCTGACTGCTTCTAGGTTCTTGTGTCAGTTCCAGACACGAACATCCCAACATCATCCAACATCCCAATCCATCGCCGGCAGGTGATTTTCACTCCTACGAATAGAGCTGCCATGTTCGCCATCGTTGTCCTGTTTTCGCACTCGCTTCAACTGCTTCAACTGCAAGAGCCCAAATCCCTTCTGTTTCCAACTGTTTGTCTTCCCACATCGGTTTGGGTCTGGTTGTGATGTCCATCGGCCACTGGTGGGCAGGAAGCACCAAAGGTCGTTTGATTCTTTTGAGTGGGGTCTCGGTATAGTGTATTTGGCAGTGAGCCTGACATAGTCATGACATCGACAGCAAACCTTTAGCGAAGAGAGTCATTCAGTCGCACCTGGAATCCTTGAGAAGTCAGAAAAGGGATCCCTATTGATCAAATATTCTTAGGTAACTAGTTCGTTGTTGGATCCTGGACTTCTCAAAGCAGACTGTGAATATCTGTGAACTAGATGTCCTACTTCACTCAAGACCTGTTGCCATCAGGTGACCCCTCTTTTTCGGATGACTGGTGATTAACATATATACATATATTAAAATCATCACCCGTTTCTGACGCTGATGAATGACGCGCCAATCCACCCGAACGTCAATCGACCGGGCTCCCGACGAATGCCGCGTCGCACCAAACAGAACGTCACCAGGTCACCACGTTCGTCCTAGGGCTCCAGTCGTATATCCTCCTTTCAGGGGTGCCAGAAGGGTCCAGACCTTGGGAAGTGTGTGGAGGTTTAGGGAGTGGCAGTCCTTGAGATGAAAGCTTCCATCACTCGCCTTTCAAAGTGGACACATTTCGACACTCGGGAAGTAACACGAAAAAAAGGTAGATATTTTAAGATGGTCACGTGTGGTCACCGTCAGACTGTGCTATACTTCACTTCAGACCCATAGGTCCTGGGAGAACTTCAGCTGCTGGGATTACACCGCATGCAGTCCGATGGCGGTGGAGGAGACTGCGCCAAGGGCTGCCAGGGGTGTCCACTGGCACATTGATCTAAATGCAGTTATGAAACTTGGCCTCCCAGAAAGAAAAAAGAACAAGTGGAAGGCAACATGTCCTAAACGAACCAAGAGTCTTCCACTTCTATGTGACTTGTTGATGTCTAGGATTCCTTTGTCAAAGACTGTCTACTTGGAGTCAAGGGTGTACTGTATACTGGCATCAGTACTGGCATCTTCTGCAGACATTAGCAATGCGTATGACCATGGACATCGCCAAGACCCTGGGAGGATCGAGGGCTTTTCCTTTTGTTTCCTTCTGTTTAAGTGATGGGCATGCCGTAATGCCTGCCTTGAAAACGAAGAAACCCAAACAATCGGCACGAGACGTATGAGACAAACAAGGGTGGGGTGATGTCATCAGACTTCCCGAGCTGGGTGAATTCCACTTTCACGTATACAACACGTTTAGGGATGTGTTTTCCTGATTGCCTTGGGCAGTCCACATGTGGTGATGTGTGTTGTGTTGAGGCATGACGTTGATCTAATATCGAACAATTCATGATCTTTGATGACTTGTTATGTTAATGTTTATGTTTTTGCGTGGTCTTGTCTTCTAGACCCCTCAGTTGGACCCCTAAGAAAGGAAATTGTACCGTTAAATCCTAAATGAACCTGATAAAAGAGGGCAAGACCCTGACACTGACACAGAAGAACACAAAATAACTGTCGAATCATTTATATAATAAGCGTTTTCAATGAACATATCTTTTCGGAAGAGTACATCATGTTATTTTGCACCTGCTGTGATTTTTTTAATGTTTACCAGAGATTCCAGGCCGCTGTGTTTCGACGGCCAGTCTTTAGCAGCTCGTGTTTTTCTTCACTCTAGTGGTCCCCAAATAGATAGTGGCACGGTGTCCAATACATTTTTAATGTGGTCTCTTACTTGTCTACTTCCATCTACTTCCATAAGCCATATAGAGCTTACAGGTGGACATGAAATGAACACAACAAACTCTTAGTTGTCTATCTATTTGGGAGATCACGGCCACTGGGGATCGCTTACGGCGGTCCGCCCACCCAGGAGCTCTTCGCCCGTGGGGTGCGTGGAGCTCATCGTCATGTCCTGGAGGTCGACGCAGCAGTGAAGGCGCCAACGACCAACCGGGGGCGGGAAGAGCTGCGCCGCGAGGTGCCAGGCTAGAGAGTTCCTTGGCACCTGAAGGAGTTCCTCATTAGAGGTTCTTTTCATTAGTGCCAGCTATAGAGATCTGAAGTGATTTTGAGATGTCCGGAAAAGACATCATGAAGGGAGTTCCTTTTGATTTGGTCAAAGTCCGGAGAAGATGGCTTAAGTTTCCTGGTTCCTGGACAGCAAATCCTAGTTGGGTGTGGTCCCTTTGTTCCCTCTTAGTTCTTGCATGCCAACAAGTCGAACAAGTTGCGTGTCAGATGGGAACCCTGGGACACAGCCCAGACATGTTCATTGCATGTTCCTTTTCCACGTATCTACAGTAAAGAAAGATAAGAAAGGGATCCAGCCTGACACACAGACATATTCTACTTACCCGCCCAGAAATCCAACATGGCCAGGATCTGTTCAAGTGAAGCCTGGTCTGGTACATGTTTTCACCTGGCAATAACGAAAGGTAACCTCAGCGACCTATAGCTACCTTAGTCCTCCGTATGTTTATCAATTACATCGACGGACCGGAGGAGCAGCTTTCTTTCAGTTCCTTCCCAATTGTTTGTAGGTCAGGATTGAAGATCCTCCTTCGAATTTAGCCTAAACAATCGACCAACCCGGGTTGTGATAATAAAAAAAGGATGTCCATGTGAAAGGTCGAATTCGCACAGGGATGATTGAAGTTTCCATCCCTCGAGTGACGTCTGCCGTAGGCTGTTTTCGGCCTGGATCCCTTGGAGCCGCGCCTGCTGGGTGGGTAGAAGAGGTGTCCGGCGTGTTGTGCGCGAGAAGCAAGCGGGAACTTCATTATATGGTTGAGTTGTAGAGATCAACCATGATCGACCATTAAAAAAAAACTATATAACATAATCATCAACATTCTCCCAAAGTCACCTGTAAATTCCATCCCCAAGATGTTGTTCGATAGATTTCTTTGATGATTTGGTCTTCGGTCGACTCCAGATCCAGGTTCTCACAGATTCGGACCAGTCCGTGTTTCCAGATGTTTCACATTCCAAGTCGTTGGACCTAGAAGTAGAGGTCGCAAAAGGCAGAACAAGTTTTAGTTGCCAAGTCAATCACAGACCAGATTTGTGAGTCACCCTCTGAAAAAGCAGCACATGCTAGCCCACGTATCCGTAAACTTGGCCGAGATGTCAAAAGCAATTGGGCAAACGGGTTGCACACGATCTTGAAATGTTTTGGGCAAATGAGGCAAGACAGAAGGTAATTTTGCTGGTTGGATACATTAAATTTAGACGCTATAGGCTATAGTAATACCACTTTTGGGGAGCCTTGAGGTCCTGCCTCAGGGGATTCCGAGCCTTCCACTCTGAGAATCTCCAATCATAATCATGCGTTGTGTTTGGATGGATTTGGATTTGATGCATTGTTTACACCTTGGGACATCACCAGCAGAGAAGCATGTCCATGCAACACCAAAGCACGAGAACATATGACTTGTGATACACTTGTACCTCTTTCTTTGATGATCATCCCCGCAGTGCATTGAAGCGATGGCCGGAGACATGACAACAACTCAGCAGCCAGGCACAGAGTGCATGGAGTGTGTCCTTTTTCGAGCAAGGCATGCAGCATGGCTTGACCCCCAAGTGGTGGTCCTCACCGCGCTTTGGAGTTGCCGATCCTTTTGGTTCCTTTTGGTCGGAAAGGTTCCAGAAACGAAGTCTTCTTGACAAAAAAAGACATGGGCAATCGTAGCCTCTACTCTCCCCAACATACTTTGAGAGGATCAATCCACACAGCAAACCAGAGTAGTGTGACAAATGTGAACTGAGAGAGGGATATCAGGACCAGTGACCACCCACTGGCACCTTAAGATGTCGTTTCACTCCAAGCAAACCTCATTGGCAAATACGACAGTCTGACCAAAGATACACAGACCCAAGACATAATGCGCTTAGATAATCTGAATCTGGTGTTCTCGAAATCATTTGAATTATCTCTATTTCCTGACTAGATGATGAGATCATTTCTCCCACCTATGGAGATCGGTTTCGATTCGTGATCAGCAAGTCCAGTTCAGCACGTGGGGCTGAAAATGTTTGGGTGTTCGAGTTGAGGGAAAGCCGTTGAGTGATTGACTCAGGCTGTATCCCTCTTCTTCGGACGTGGCGCGTGGTCGGTGATTCAAGCCTCGGAATGACCAATCAAAGGCTGAGCCAGACCAATTTCCCTTACTGGTACATTGGTTTCAGAGAGTAGATGGCACTGGCACCCCCAAGATGTATTGTATTTGTGCATTTTGTACAGGTGTCCATATAAACCACCTTAAAGGTATTGTGCAATCGAATTACTTTGAAACGTAACATATTCAAGCTCATTGGCTTGGGTGCCAGTGGCCTCCTTATGACGGTTCTTGCGAGAACGGAATGATGACCCTATCTAGCTATCTATTCACTTGTAAGAGATTCTCATGCAGACGAAGATTCAGCAGGGAGCTATCTTGAAGCTAAAGGCAGCTATGTGGTCTCCAAAAAGGCGGGGATTCATTCCTAAGGTCCAAGGAGAAACCTCAGGCCTCAGGTTCTCTGTAGGTCAAGACACAATGCCCAAACCAAAACTGAATGCGTGTTGAATAAATGCCAATAGATGATTCCAACCGGTTTAATCCATTGCAGTGGATCAGGTCGCTTCGGATTTGACCGCCACATCCAAAGGACAAACCCACTTGATTCCTTGACCGACTACACGCCCGGCCCACGTTGTTCGGGGCACCGCCCCTGGGTCGCGCCAGCCCAATCAGGTCCGGTCCACCAATTTCGAAGACAGATGACAGATGTGCTATATTGCGCTATGATGTTCTGATCCGATGTTGATTAAACGCCATTTACTAAAGAACGCTACGAACGGGGCTCCTGGCCTCGCTACGAACGGAGCAGGGACGCTACGAACGGAATGGAACGAGCCCGCTGTGTCTCCGACTCGAAGTGTCGTCCAGTGAGATCCAGTGAGTCGGTCGAAAATCCACTGGTCGAATCGGTACCAATTAAACCACTGGTCGAATTCGCTTTTATAAGCGGTGATTTTTAGGATTTGTATGAGTAAATCATGGTAAATCCTCTTCTGGGGAATATGTTTTCATGTTTTCCTGGCTCCTTTCTTTCCCATATCTAAGACCCTGTGAACCATCGGAGGGCCTGCATAGGCACCCCGCCGCTGAATCCTTCGAGAATTGGACTGGACCTGTGGGCCGAGAACGACCGCTGCCCGGCAATCGCGGTGACAACTGCGGCGGCGAAAGGTCATTCGTGGCGGGTGACAACTGCGCCAGTTTATAGCTTCTTTTCCTGGTGGATCATTTGGAATCCCACCCATGGTTGACTGGACCTGTGAGGCGGCCTATCGGACAAAGAATGAACAAGAACAGAACAGGGACAGTGGTACATATTCCAATATGCTTTCTGAAGTTGTTTTTCTTGTCAGAAGGTATAAACAACTTGTTCAACTCCTCTCGGAGGATCTTCGGTGATTTGTTTGTGGCAATTGTACGAGGTTTTTCGCTCGTGCGAGCTGCTCGCATGTGAGATTCCATCCACTTGCTTGGTTGTTTGATGGGAGGAGATTGAACTCCTCAGAAACTACCTACTAGAGTGTTTTTTTGCAGAAAAGGCTGCCGTGCTGGGCATGGTTCATTGCATCCAGACCACGGTGAGTTAGGCTATCACGATATGAGATTCAGTGATTGCGTGCGGCCTTGCCGCTAGAAGAGCACAGAAACTAGTAGAAGCGATGGAATGCCATTCGACTCCTGCGGCGTGAGACACGTGAGACTCATGGGCATCATAGAGACACGACGTAGAGCATGCTGCAGACGACGCGGAGTAGAGCTGCGGGTGCTGTCGGTTCTGGGCAACATGCTGACACTTCAAGACCTGTTGCTGGTCTGAGCATATTACAAGTAGGGTGAACTGGCCAGTAACAGTCGGTAAGACTTATGAATGATACCACTATTTCGGAGAAAGCTCTTTACTATTACTAACCATCATCGTCCACTGTTACTATCCTGGAATGACTCTTGGATAAGAATCTGACTGTCGGAAGACCGCGCATGTGAAGGCTCGTATATATATATATATATATAGGGTTCTCCAGTCAGTCCTGGAGCACATGTCCTGCATCTGGACACAGAAGAACACCATTCACATGCAAAGCTCCTGGTTTCCTGATACAAGCAGCCTGGAGAGGAGCCAGATTTCCCACATCCAACGCCGAAGCTGCAGTTGTAAGGCTCCATTTTGTATTTTGTTGGCTTCCGTGTTTGTTCGTTTCATTCTGCATTATCATGGCGACATCATCTCTCCATTGGAATGTGAACTCAGTAGATCTCAGTAGTTCTCAACTGAATCAGCAGCAATGGATTCTTTGGAAAACGAATCTACATACTGCATGTTGCCCATCAGTTTCCCTCTAGAATCTAGAACTGACTCAATCCTTTGGAATGAGTAAGCCTATGGCCTATGTTACACTCCCAGAAACCCTACATGGAAGTGGATAATGAACTGGACTGTCCTCTCCAAACAGTTTCTTTTCGTCCGCCGTTATTGCTCTCATTTGCCGGCATTGACCAACCTGATCATTTTTCAGTGGCCCAAAACCACTGATCACAAACGGCAAAAAAAGCTAGAGGTCCAACAGCTATACTTTTTGTTGTGAGCCAAAAGGTTTACATTGGGCACAGGATGGCACAAGTATCGATCGCATGATCACTAAACACTAAGTATTGTAAATCCGAATGCCACGTCAGATGCTTCTGCGGGGAATCTTCTTATGGAACGGACACGGACCGCTGTGTTTCCCAACCAATCTTCATTTGGACATCGGCCCACCCACTCGTGCGGCCGAGAGGGGTGAATCGCCCGCGCATGGTCGGCCTCCATGTCGCTGCTGGATGAGTTGCTGGACGAGGACGGCGTGGGTGACACACAGGTCCTTAGGGCTCCTGTCCTGCCTCCGTTTTCGGAGAAGGTGTTTGGGGTGGGTGGATTTGGGGGGTCGGTGCCCACCGAACCTAAGGATATGGAGCCCTAGGGAGTGTTCATCTCCCCTACCATAGGGCTTCCTAGCGGTGGTAGTCTATTCTGTTCATTTTTGGTTGGAACAACCAAAGAGCCCTGGCTTTGACCCACAGCCATGTGAGTTGTTCTTTTTTATGTGTTTTTTTGCAGAATGTACACCTCCAGCATCCTTACTACTTACAGCTTTATACGATAGATGTAATTACTTATTATTATCATCAAAACGGTGTTTCTAGATCGATGTATCTTATCTTTGTTTCCTTCCTCAGATCGAGGGATGATCTCGGGGAGAAGAAACAAAGACAAACAGCACGATCGAGGAGAAGAAACGTCACGTGCCTTGAAGATGCAAAGACAGTGGAGTTGTCCTCGCCCCGATTTTGGATGACCATGTTCCAAAGAACGGCGCCAGGTGGTGCCCTAGGCGCCATCCACGTTGGCCCATGATTGTTTTCAAGGATAGCAACCGTTGGTTCTCCAGGAGCCACGGAGAGTGACAGGTGTAGAGCTTCGATGACTAGAGGACCGACTGACTAGACCTTCTCTTGTTGAAAGACAAGCCTGCAGCATGGTCTCATGTGGTCTCATATGTTCTGATATGAATCCGTGGGGAAGTCCTGTGTCATCATCTCTTCTCTTCCAAAGCCACACAACGTGTTCAACACGTTCAACCCCATGCTTGGCACAATTTGGGTGTTGAGGTCAACTTCCTTCGGTCCTGGTTGGTCCTGGGTCCAACGAGGAGGGTGCGATCACTCTCAGCGGTGGGTTAATCGGCTCCCTGCTGTGCTACCTGGTGCCTTGAAGCAAGAGACGAAGGATGCAGCTGCAGTATGCAGCTCCAGTCGGCGCGAGAGGTGAATTAGGCCAAGAAAGACGGGGGATCACATGAGTGTGAATTTAAATAACGAGACCTCCCAAAGACCCCAACAAACCATTGGTTGGGGGTCTCCCTATTCAAGTACAAATGCGGCATGCCATATGGTTCATAGATGTTCATAGTCCCGTCCCAACGGTGTGATAGACCTCTCAGAAGAATTATCGTTTCTTCTTTGAACCAAGAAAGAGCTCCTAGTACGTATGGCCAGGAGCCCCTAGTAGCGTCAGTAAGCGCAGTAAGAGGTTGTGGCCATTCCCCCCTGAAGCTTTGATGTATTGGAAGGCTCCTCGGGTGCATTTGGAAGACGGGATTTTTCAACCTGCTCTCATGGTCCAACTACTTTACAATGGATTACCGGTATCGGTGTATATACTGTGTATAAGTTGTTTTGCTAGTTTTGGATTGTCCTTTGTTCCATATCCTATCTACTGGGTTGCTGCAGGATCACTATAGAAGTATGTGGCGGTTGTAATCAATGGCCCTACCCAACCTGGCTTGTGTTGGAGACATCATCAAACCATCAAGCAACTGCACAACCACTGATGTCCCCTGCAAAAACCGACCCCCCACAAAAGAGACCGGGATGTGATGTGGGTGGTCCCAACCCTCACTGCCGTTTTCGCTCGTTTTCGCTCCGGTTCCACCAGGCTTCTTCGATGCTCGCTCCACTCAGGTGACCCTTCTGTTGGGCACCGGGCTCTTGCTCTTGGGCGCCCGATGTCGCTCCGCCGCGATGCGCCGGGGGCGCAC